CCTTGCGGTTGAGGTCCAGGGGTGCACACTGCGATCGGATCCTTGCGATTGAGGTCCAGCGGTGCACACTGCGATCCGGAGCTTGCCAGAAGCAGATTGGCGAAGCAGATTGGCGAAGCAGATTGGCGATGAAGATTGGCGATGAAGATTGGCGAGGAGGTTGGCGAGAAAGGAAGCAAGGAGGGAGGGAGGGAGGGAGGGAGGGAGGAAGGAAGGAAGGAAGGAAGGAGGAAGAACAACTGTCATAAAGCCTAACAACCCTCACCTGGCAGGTGGGGAAAAATCATTTGCAAGCTGTCCGACGCCACGTCCTGACACAAATCTACAGTCTCCGATCTCCTATTCTTTGAACAAGAGAAAAGACCCACGCCTCGCACCAAACGGTTGCGACTCGCACCACGATAACCAGTCTCCGCCCTGACCTCACCTCACGCTGAGGCCGTCGAGGCCAGCATCACATCGCGACTGCTGTCACACCCACGCGACTGCGGCGTCTTGCAGTAGCACGCATAGAGCACAAGCTGCGCTATGCCTTTGAACGTCTTTGAACCAACGTACGTACGAAGAAGACGAAGACGAAGGGCCGACTCAGCAAATGCATTCATCTCAGACCCAGAAAGTGTCCTGAATGAAGAAAAGTGTTGGAATCATTTAAAAGAATCTGTTGGAGTTAAGCAATGAATTCGATGCCCCTCCTCCGAAGGCCATGGTACCAATGTATCTGTATGTGAGAGAATTCTGTGACGAACAACGTCCACATGGTTCGGGGGCCCACACTGATTGGATTGCTCCGCCCGGCCCCTCTCATGGAACCTCCCAACCGCTCCCTTTAACATCGTAGAGATGGCCGAACGCACGTCACGTCACGTCTTGGCCGCGCGGCCCATCAAAATGCCCAAGAAGTTCGGAATGAAAACCGCTGGGTTTTGAATCAAAAGCGCCTGTCCACCTGGAAGCGGTCGAGATGGTCTGAGGAAGCACAGCCAAAACAGTTTTGCCATGAATATGGCTTAGGAGATTATATTCCAGAAAATGAATCCCTAGCAGCAATTATTAGCTCTACTAATTCGAAAACGCTTCGGAATCCTTTAGACCAAGGTCATCTCCACAGTCATCTCCTGCCCCACGGCGATTCCCGTGAACAATGGAGGCCACTCCAGCGGTCACAAACGATCGGTTTAACAGATGAGGCGCTCCAAAGGCAGCAAATTACAAAAGTCAGCAGCGACATTGGCAACGGCATGAACCTTGGTGCCAAGTGTTCACAAACACCGCGCTCTAAATCACTGAAGGAAAAACTGACACTTTCCAACATCCGTGAAACTTCACATCTACCAGTCAGCATCACTCCACGAGTCACGAAAGGAATCCCTATGCCTATGCCTCTGCCACCGCCAAAATAATCCGATCGTGAGGGAAACAGGGCTCCGACCGGGTGGAGCCCTCCCCTAAAAAAAGGGCCATGAACCACATACGTCGACCCTTCTCCCGATTTCAAGCCCGATCCTCCTTCTTTTGACGGCCAAATGCGGAAGATCAACGTTTGTTAAAGTCATTCTACTAATCTACTTAAAACTGCGTCAACCTGCTCTCCAAAGGGGAGACTCTTTTGAATCGCCTGGAACTTCAGGTAAAGCCCAGATCTTCTCCAGAAACCTGCGTAACAATAATTATCCCGGCAAGAGACCCCAAGCAGTGCGTTTGAGGTTTGGAGGCGACGCAGCAGAAAATCTAGAGATCGAGGTGATGGTGGTGATGGTGGTGGAAGGAGGTTCGCAAGCTGGGAAGGGTCGCAGGATCCGGCGTGCTGAGCGCCCAATCGTGTAGCGAAGTGCGAATTCTGCGGTTGTCGAGCGCACCCTCTTGCAGGATCCGCCCTGTCGAGCGCCCAAACGCGTAGCGCAATGCAAGTTTGATCCATGCTCGGGCGACCCTGCCCAAAAAGCGTGTAGCGGAAAGCGAATTGCGCCATCGTCGAGTGAACCCCCTCGCAGGATCCGGCTGGTCGAGTGCCCAAGCGTGTAGCGAAAGGCG